CATCTTGGGAATTTAATGGCCTTCAATTCCATCAATTCCTTTAACATGGTATCCCTTTTAATGCTGATTTCCTTCAGTTCCTCCCTCTCACTATAGTCTATGTTCCCCAAATTTTCAGGATCTTATTTTCAGCCTCCTTGTGTATGCATGGGTTTCCTCTGGGTGCTCTGGTTTCCTCTCACAATCCAAAGATGTGCAGGTTAGGTGGATTGGCCATGCTAAGTTGCCCCATAGTGTCTAGGGATCTGCAAGTCAGGTGGAGTGTCATGGTAAATGTGGGGTTACGGGGATTGGGTGGGGGTCTGGGTGGGATGCTCTTTGGAGGGTCGGTGCAAACTCGATGGCTTGAATGGCCTTTTCCCACTGTAGAGGGCGGCATCTGAAGGTAGTTAGACTGACTATAGTGACGCTTAACAGCAAATATGATCGGGTTAAAGTGATTGATTTAAGTGGTGTGTGACAGCAAATGCTGTCATTCCTGTGTGAGTTATGCTAACTGTGTCAGTAGGGACAGATAACTATAAGAATGCTGTATAAACAAGTATCACAAGTATCTGTTGTATCTGTTGTAATACTGTATAAAAAGCCACATCTACTCAACGTAAGCAGCTTAAGCTTAAAGATTTACTAAGAAGTGTTTTCAATAAAGACAACCTTTAAGATGTCTTTAAGACCCGGTCTCCATCTCACTCCTGTTCGCCAGTCTCAGAAAGAACCCAAAAACATGGCATAGGATCAGTACAAGATGCCCGACCACCAGCATCGCTCTTGTTTCACTCTACTGGTGCCTACGAGGTAAGGGATCGTCTACTTAAAAATCCTCAGGTGAAAGTGATGGTCTATATGGTGGAAAGTCCCGTCTGAAGTGATCCAAGGAAGGCAAACCTAGTTCGTCCAGAATCTCCTGTTGGATAGACACATCTCTTTCGGTAATCAATTAGGTTACCTACGACTCAAAAAGAGTCTAGTTTCGGTTCTGATCTAAGAGATGTGAGACCCGGTGTAAAAATGTCTAGTTCATTACCAACTACTGTCAAAGGCAGGCAGGCACTGCCTGACATTCCAGAAGAGGAAGTCTTACAAAAACTAAAAGAACATATTGAACAACAATTCAACCTCCCTTAATGAAAATTTGTAAAAAAAATACGGAACCTCCACGGCACAATGGTCCCTGGGCAACATCAAAAGAGCCTGGGGAAGAAATACCTGACTCAAAGATAAAGAACAAGCTCAATGGTCTTTTTGTGTTATGCAACAATTAAGAAAGAGACAAAGAGATCATTGACAAGCCCAATCATGACCGAGAAGTGAACAATTTGAAAGACCAGTTAAAAGCAGTATGTAATGAATTAAAACCAACTAAAGACGATTGGCTGTCACCAGATAGGAGACAGAACACATGAAGACTACTTTACCGACTCCACCACCATACCCTGCTACATCTTTATATCCCGTTCTTACTCCAAGTGTGCACCCTCTTAAAGGCAACTCAGAATCGTCCTTGGAAAGCGATGATGATTCCAAAACTAATAAGGGACCGCCCCTGTGGCCGTGCGCCCAGTCTGACTAAAACAACAAAAACGGAAAAAGGCTAATGTCAAAGAAAAGGACAATGAGCTGGGAGGGTCCAAACATCAATACACACCATGGGTTGTTCACAAGCTCCCCGATCTGAAATTGGTCAAAAGGTGGTCAAAAGAATTGCCGCATCCTAGAAAGGGTGGTCTAAAAACGTGGAGTGAATTGGAAAAATTGAAAAATATTTACTCTCTACATCCCATGGATGGAATTCAAATTTTATTTGCCATGGTGGAATCAAATACAGGAAATAAACTTCTCACTCGAGTAACAGCACAGTTGGGGAGAATGGACAGAAGTTAGAGAATGGGCAGTGTTCTATCAGCAACTGGATCCACAATTATGGCCCTCCGAAGACAGATTGGAGCAAAATAATGGCCTGTCAACAAAAAGAGGTAGGGACCTTGTGGAGTGCTTTATAGATACTTACATAGAAAACTCAGAGCTTGCTTGTGATAGTGGGGCAGACAATATAGAAAAGCAGACACTTGTTCCACTAATATCTTAAAAATCCTCAGGTGAAAGTGATAGTCTATATGGTGGAAAGTCCCGTCTGATGTGATCCAAGGAAGGCAAACCTAGTTCATCCAGAATCTCTTGTTGGATAGACACATCTCTTTCGGTAATCAATTAGGTTATCTACGACTCAAAAAGAGTCTAGTTTCGGTTCTGATCTAAGAGATGTGAGATCCGGTGTAAAAATGTCTAGTTCATTACCAACTACTGTCAAAGGCAGGCAGGCACTGCCTGACATTCCAGAAGAGGAAGTCTTACAAAAACTAAAAGAACATATTGAACAACAATTCAACCTCCCTTAATGAAAATTTGTAAAAAAAATACAGAACCTCCACGGCACAATGGTCCCTGGGCAACATCAAAAGAGCCTGGGGAAGAAATACCTGACTCAAAGATAAAGAACAAACTCAATGGTCTTTTTGTGTTATGCTGGCCTTAAACCTGAACTCGTGAAAATTTTGAAGTTACTTTGATGTGATTGGGAGCAGGACCACATCTCCTTCAGAGACCTGATTGGAGAAGGAAGTAAGCTGGAACGGGACATGGAATCAAAATTCAGAGTCATGCAGACTGTAGTCCCTACTAACACTGATAAACATCCTGGAAAACACCACAATTGTGGAAAGGAAGGATATTGAAGCAAAAATTGCAGGCAAAAGAAAAATAATCCAGGCAGGAAACAGAATCCCAAACCACCTACAGAGGCTTCTGGATGGGATAAGTTTGGCCTAATGAAATGCCTGACTCTTGAACAGAGGCTCACAAAGTACCAGCAGGAAGGCCTACCTTGGCCATAAGCTTTACCCCTGGTCTTGTGCAGTATACAGGCAACTCCCAGTAGGATTATGGGCCTCAGTCCCTTTGAAGACATAACAGGACGGCCTAGGTCCTTACCTAGTACCATCGACCTACGTACAGCTGTCTACCAGCTGATAAGGGACTCTTTGCATCAGTATTGTCAAGATCTAACCACAGCTGTGAGCTCTGTTCCTCAAAAGGTGTCGGCAGCCTGGGGAAATCCCCCCCAGATGGAGGAAAAGACCTGGTTCCTTGTAACTGGGTCTATGTCAAAAATGTACACAAAGAATCTTTGGGTGACAAGTGGGAAGGTTCATACCAAGTTCTGCTAACAACACAATCCGTTGTTAAAGTCCACGGCAAGAAAGCTTGAATCCAAACATCCCACGTAAAAAGGATTAGGTTGGCCAAGGAATCCCGCAATATGGCTGCTGCCCTGGAGCAGATAGGCAATGACATGGCCCAGGCCTTAGATAAAATCACTGTCAAAATGGTAGCCATTCGCACAACTGCCTTGCAAAACCAAATTGCTCCAGTCTGGCTTCTCTCTGAAAAAGGAGGCACATGTACCCTCATTGGAAAAGAATGCTGCACTTTGCGGGTCACATCTGTAAAGAGGCTGACCAACTCAAACACCCCCCAGAAAACACCCTTTAGACTCTGGCTATGGGATGGTTAGGATCCTTGGACACTTCCATTGTCCAAAGCATAATAAACTTTCTCATTATTTTAATTGTCATTTGTACCCTTTTGCAATGATTTTCTGCTTGCATTAAGAGCTCAATGCCAACTAAAATTTGTTCTGTTCAGTCCGGTTCTCTGGTACAAAAGAAATCGTTTGGCTCGTATGTTTAGAGATTGTGATTCTGCAGGGTGCTTTGACAGGATCAAAGGGGGGAGTTGTGGAGGGCAGCATCTGAATGTTGTTAGGATGACTAAAGTGGCATGTGACAGCAAATATCATTGGGTTAAAGTGATCGACTAAAGTGGTGCATGACAGCAAAAGCTGTCATTCCTGTGTAAGTCATGCTAATTGCGTTAGAGAGATACAATAAATGAAACTCTGTAAAGAAAACATCCGTTTATAATAGTAAGGACAGATAACTGTGAGAATGCTGTATAAATAAGCTCTGCATACAAATACCTGTTGTATCTGTTGCAATACTATCTAAAAAGACAGGCCTACTCACTGTAAGCAGCTTAAGTTCAAAGATGTACTAAGAAGTGCTTTCAATAAAGACAACCTTTAAGACTTCTAAAGATATCACAGTGTAGAGCTGGAGGAACGCAGCAGGCCAGGCAGCATCAGAGGAGTAGGAAAGATGACGTTTTAGGTCGGGAAATGTCAACTTTCCTGTTCCTCTGATACTGCCTGGCCTACTATGTTCCTCCAGCTCCACACTGTGTTATCTCTGACTCCGGCATCTGCAGTTCTTACCATCTCTTTAAGACTCCTCCCCGGTCTCTGTCTCACTTCCGTTTGCCGGTCTCAGAAAGAACCCAACACCCATGCTGTAGGGTTTCAATGATTCTAATTGGCCTCAGAACTTTATGATGTACTTTGCAAATAGGTGCAGTAGAGTAGAGGAAGCAGCATGTCAGAAGAACCTGTAATTTGTATCTAATTTGCAGTTAGTGTACTGTCTGGCTCGCAACTGTTATGGGATCTTTACCTTTACTGTAACAACATTTGTGTGCACTTGGTGGCAGCCATTAAATGCAATATTTGCAACATATTCCTCATCTCTGAAACTGTCTACAATGTACCTCCTCAAAGTTGCAAGGACTCATTAGAATTACTAAAATCTAGGCTCATCCTGCAAATGATGGCAGGCTCATCTGCTTCACTTCCAGTGGGTGCAAATGGTAACCCATTAATCATTATTCCATTTGGGTGTTACGTGACAGGAAAATATATATTTGCTTTTGCTTTACTGCCAGACAGAAAACATTTTTAAAGCCCCAGGTCTTATTTTCTCTTTATTTTGTTTAATATAATTGACTGCATTTAAAGTGCTCACTGAATATATGATGTACCTTATTTTTACTCTGTTTGGATGATAAATAAATATTATTCATCTCATTTATTTTAAACTATTTTTAATCAGATGGAAGCCATTTGATCGGGATGAATATAACTTAAAATTGACGCAAGAGCGGAAAGTTCTTGACATGGATCATGACAAGAAGCTTTTTAAATCAGTAACTATACCGAGGGTAGGTATTAATACATTTCAGACAATACAATGTAAGTTCCCTGCATCCTATGCGAAAGCCTCTGAACCTCAGATCTCAGCAAGCTGAAACTTTCCTATACACTGGTGGTCCTTGTAAGTAGTATGTTGTCTTGGGTGGTGGTGGATGTTAACCTGCCACTTCCATTGGAGTTCCCATTCCTTAAAGCTTATCTTAGTTCCAAGTGCACTTCCCTCTATTATGGAGCTCATTTTAACAGTTGGGCACCCACTTCCGGCCAACTTTGTGTCCTGACTGCTTTGTCAGATGTCTACATATTTTCGAATCAACTTGCTCAAATATTATGACACATCTTTGGAGCAGGTGGGAATTGAACATGGGCCTCCTGGCTGAGAAGTATGGACACCGCCTTGGTGCCATGATAGTCCTACAAGTTAGGAATGATAGGTATTTTTAGTCAACCTGTTCAGAGATGTTATGACACATCTTTGAAGCAGGTTGGATTTGAACGTTCGCCTTACATTGTGGATTATAAATATTTTTGAATCAACCTGCTCAGAGGTGTCATTACACACCTATAGAACAGGTGGGACTTAAACGCAGGTCTCCTGGCTCAGAAGAAGGGACAGTACCACTGCACCACAAGAGTCCAATGATGGGAGTTATCTATATTTTTTAATCAATCTGTTTGGAGGTGTTGCTGCATACCACTGGAGCAGGTGGGACTTGAATACAGGACATGTGGTCTAGAGTTAGGGAAACTACCATTGCTGCACAAGAACCCTCCTGATAGGAGTTATTAGTTGTTTTTCTTGCAGGTGACTCAGATAATGATGTAAATTATAATTACTTACCTTAGGTCCAGAAGTAATTAATAAAACAGGACCAAGACAAGCAAATTTAAATAGCTATCTGCTACTAAGCTTAAGGTTTTTATTTCATTACTCCAAGTGGAGCTGCTCTGAAATTGATACCTTGGTTCGACAAATTTATATATATTGTATCAGAAAAAAAAAGCTTCTCTTTCCTTCTTTTAACTCATGATGGTAACCACCAGTTGATAGAAAGCTATACCATGTAGCTGCTGTTTTGATCTGTCAGTTGTTTGTGACCTCAACCAATTTGTTGGTAAAACCTAAAAATTAACTTATCTTTGTGAAATGATATCTTCCCCAATAAGTAATTGGAAGAAAGGTTTATTGCAAGTTTTTTAAAGAAATATTTTAAATCCCAATGATGTTAATTAGCCCATTAATTGAATTTGTTACCCCAATAATATTACCGCTGCTGTAAACTCAAGAAGCAGTGAGGAAACTCCTGGGGCCAATGGCATATTTCATTGTCAACCTTGGACACTGCAAAAGATTGTGGCTGAATCAGGAGCTTATTCTCTGAAGCTGTGTTGAGCATCCAGTCAAAGTTTCAATAGTTCTATTCATATGTTCTTTTGTAAAATTATTTAATTGCTTTCACTCATCATTCAATGTCCAATCATTTGGACATATTGTTAGCTTAATAAACAACAATGATTAAAGGCCATTGAGTGATTCAGCTTTGTTTGATTCCTAACAGCTGAAATCAAAACCAATAGAAAATTCCATATCGGGCACTAGAGCAATGGGTGCTGTATTTCGAGCTCTTCCTGTGTATACTGTAAGTTGATATCTTTTATTTCTCTGTGTAAAAATAATGATGTACTTGATAAGCTGATGAATGTATTGTCATAAATTCTACTATTTAGGACTTTAGCTGCAAATATAAAATTAATGTAAAGCAACTGAGGTACCAATATGAGTACTGTACTGTAGTACTTTTAAAAAAAAAGTCTTTTTGTATATCTAATAATTATTGGAAATATCAAAACATTGATTTTTCATAGACCCCTTAAGCATTTCAAGCCTTATGTGCCAATGTGACCTCTCAGAAGGTTCTGACTTGTGTGGACTGGGGGAGAGATGGGGACATAGGAGGACTCATTTATAGCTGCTCCATGCCCCGAGGGGTCCCATCAAATGGGATTGTCTGCCCCTTCTGTTATGCCACCACCACTTGAAGGTATACCCCTGCTGTGGCTTGCTGGAAATAATTAACTTATCTTTGGGGTTTGTAATTGAATAAAATGAAGCCAAAGACGATTCAGCATTGAGTTAATTTGGGCTTAGTGCTCATGGATTGCAATACCCACGCACGAGGGAGACCAAATTTCATAATAATGATCTTAGACTTATTGTATAATTTACTTCATATTAGTCCCTTCAAGAACAAACAAGGTAGACATAAATATTGAAATAAACAACTGGGTTTTGCCAGCTCCATGGTGACAGGCTAGGAGGTGGGAGGACTGGTAAAATGGAGATGGAGAGGAGTCCAATGTCTTCCTGCATATAACCGACAGCAGAACCTCTGTGTCACTGGGAAGCCAAATGAGAAAAGAAAGGGCCACTTCTCTTCGCCCACCTGCAATTTACTGGTGTAAGGAGGGACCATCTCTGTCTGGGCAGACAGCCAAGTAAACCTGGGTGGTTTCCTAACAGGTTCCCAGGAAAGGTCATCATTATGGTTGCTCCATGGCCAATGGAGAGGTGGTCCATTTGCAGTGTCCACCCCCTACAGCTAAGGTGCCATTGGTCTCTTGAAAATGTCTCCTGTACTTACCAGAGCCCACCTGCCTGGCCCTGACTGGCTGACAAAAAAAAACCTTATCTTTGAGGGCCCTCTCCTTCATCTTGCAGCATCAGCAATGTCCACCTCAAATGCTGGTGGAGGGCCACTGTCCCCAACTGGATGGCAAGTCCTGAAGAGTACCTCCTAATTGGCCACCTTTGGTGAAATGCTACCTCAATGGCCCATGATCACCAGCATTAGGTCGGCTCACAGTTCCAGTCCATGCAATGGACCTTTTCCATGCCTGAAAAGATCAGCTTGAAGAGTCCTTTAAGAATACAATTAAATCAATCAATGTTGAAAAGTTGCAACATTTTCACAAGCAACTTACTGTTCTTGGATATTTTGTTTCCTGCAATCATGAAAAAATGAAGTATGAACACAGTAAGAGCTGAGATACAAAGCTTGAAGGCTACAATTCAGTCTCTAGGAAAGGGTATCTATTAAGGCTAAGGTAGTTGTCCTTTTGTTAATGCATTATCTCCTCCACAGATTAATCCTTTATTCCGGATGAATCCATTTGAAGGCATTTCGATCAGTTCAGAAGAAGGTGGTGGTCATGACTCACTCTATAACTTCTTTGCAGGAGAAAGGAAAGTATTTGCAAATGTTAAGAAGGTCAGTAATTCTGAGTAATCAGCAGGAGTGAAATAGTTAAAAAAAGATACGTTTATTCCTCAGGGTCTGTGTTTGCAGGCAGTTCATGTTATTAACATACCAAAGCTACTTGCAGACTTTAAACCAAACATTCCAGACTCCAAACCAGTTGACATCTCTTGTTATTTTTTTAAAGGATTTGGATAGTCTCTGCTTTAAGATGAGAGAGTGTGCACCTTCACAGCCAGTTTTAGAGTGATACTGAACATTCTTTTGCCTGCAAGTTACGATGCTCAAGCTATGTTCGTGAAAGGAGATTCAGAGAAAACAAAACATTAAGTACAATTAATGTTGGTATAGTGGTTTAGATTTCACCCCAATTCACAATTTGTAGCATAATTGGTGTGCAAAGTTGCCCAAATTGAACTTACCAAAGCGATTTTAAACTGCCTGCAGAAAAAAAAACTCTTTGCACCTAAAAAGCACTTTTCATGACCCCTGGTCATCTTGAAATACATTACAGTTAATTGAAGTAGTTTTAAGCGTAGCCACAGTTGTAATATCAGAAAATTGACAGCTAGTTAACACACACTAAGGTATGAAATTAGTTGGGGTGATAATATTGACTCAGACACACACGATCATTAAAAAATGTTACAGCACAGAAGATGGTAGATGGAGGAAGAGTGAGCCTAAGGTTTGGTAAGCGAGCCACTGAAAAAACCACACTGACATAGTTGTGGGAGGACCGCAACATGGAACAATCCTTGTAAATCTTTTCTCCATTTCTCTCAAGCTTTCACATCCTTCCAAAAGTGTGGTCTGCACAACTGAGCACAATATTCCTATTGTGCCTGAACATCATGTCTCTATTTTAACTGCAAGCCTTTTTTGTTTGTCAAAGCAGTTCCAAATTACTTGGGTAAATTCAGTTTGGACACAGTAGCTCAGTGGTTAGCGCTGCTGCCTCACAGCGCCAGGGACTTGGGTTTGATTCCACCCTTGGGCGACTGTCAGTGTGGAGTTTGCACATTCTCCCCATGTCTGCATGGGTTTCCTCCGGGTGCTCCAGTTTCCTCCCACAGTCCAAAGATGTGCAGATTAAGTGGATTAGCCATGATAAATTGCCTGTAGTGTTCAGGGATGTATAGGTTAGGTGGGTTATATGGGAATGGGTCTGGGTGGGATGCTCTGAGGGTCAGTGTGGGCTTTTTGGGCCAAAGGGCCTGTTTCCACTCTGTAGGGATTCTATGATCTATGAATACTGCATACCAACTAAACTACTCATTTTGTATTGGGTTGAACTCTGAATCACTTTGCATCAGCATTAATAGTACTTATATTTTAAATGTTTTATTTTTGGTGAATCTTGTTTTGTTGGAATTTCTTACACATCACAGTCTGCAGGGCAGAGGAATGTTCAATATCACTCTAAAGCTGGCTATGATGGCATTTTCATTTTAAAGCATAGATTATCACAATGCAAAAAAGAAGTGATCCTGTTGGTCTTTTTAACCACTTTCTCAACTTGCATTGTCACCCTCAATGATTTGTGCACATACATCCCCAGGTTGTTCTGTTCCTGCATCTTCTATCTTGTTTTGTCTCATTCTTCCTTCCAAAATTCGTCACTTCACACTTCTTTGCATTAAATTTCATCTTCCACATGTCTGCCTATGCTATCAGCTTATCTATGTTTTCTTGGAGTCTATTACTATCTTCCTCAAAGTTCATCATACTTCCAAGTTTTGTGTCATCAGTATTTTTTTAAAATTATGCCTACATATTCAAGTCTAGATCATCAACTTATATCAAGAAGATCAATGATCCTAATACTGATGCTTGGAAACCCATTTTATACCCAATTCCAATCTGAGAATCAGCCATTCACCGCTGTGGTCAGTTTTTGTCCATGATACTCCCTTTATTCCACAGGCTTCAACTTTGCTGGCTAATCATCAGACACATTTTTGCAAAATAATCTATATCACATGAATTGTATTATCCACATCAATTTTCTTTTGTTATCTCAATTAAAAAGATACTCAATTGGTTAGTTAAACTCGATTTGAATTTAACACATAAATGCAGGCTTTTCTTAAGAACATAAGAACCAGAGTAGACCATCTGGCCCTTCGAGCCTGCTCTGCCATTCAATAAGATCATGGCTGAGCTTTTCATGGCCTCAGCTCCACTTACCCACCATAATTCATTTACTGTCATAAGAACATAAGAACCAGGAGCAGGACCATGTTGAAGTTCAGATGACTGTTAGTTTTGTCCTGGATACTTGTACCTAAAAGTCTTATCACTACTGAGATTAAGCTGACTGATGTGGAGTTTGGAGAATATCCTCACATTACTTTTTAAACAAGTGTGCCATTTACAAATGTCCAGACCTCTGGCATCACTGCCCATACCTAAAATGATTGGAAGATTACAGCTAGTAACTCTGCACTTTCTTCCCTCTGTATCCCCAAATGAATTGCATGCAATCCTAGCAACTTATCAACATTTCAAGTCTTCTCCTATTTATCAAATTTTAGCCCATCTGGTATTTTAACACCCTCCTTTTTCAGTAAGGCTTTGGCAATATCTTCTTTGGTAATACTTGAGTGATGTAGACAGACGTATCCTTGGTGAAGAGAAGGCTGAGGTGAGATTTGACAGAGGTGCTCAAAATCCCGAAGAGTCTGAATAGAGTCCACAGAGAGAAATAAAACTATTGATAAAAGGATCGAGAGCTTGAAGACACCAATTTAAGATGCTTAGCAAAAGAATCAGGGGGCAAAGCTTTCTTAGGCACTGAGTTGTTGAGATACGGAATATACTGCCTAAGTGTAAGGTGGAAGTAGATTCAATCATGGATTTCAAAAAAAAAATCGATCATTATCTTGCTTTAATCTCCATAGAGACCAACAACTTCTAAATAGAGATGAATTTCCTCATGTCAATAGAAATAAATGAATGACAAGCGTTTATATTTTAAGACTTTATTGTAACAAACAAATCATAATCAATGTAGGCTAAACATTGTTTAATAGGGAACCAAGTCGCCCAACTGAATTAAAGGTAGTTTTGTATTAACTAACACAATCAAGGCATATATTGCAACTCTTTTCACTATGCATTGCACTTCTTCCAAATACATGGTATCAGAAGAATAAAGTTCAAAGACACTCCAGGATCTCCAGCAGATACAGTACTTTCTACCGTGCTAAGCTCCAGTGCTTTTCAGCTTGAGTTCTGCATAGATTGAGTCTTCCAGATCCAATTTCAACCAGCAAGACCCTTCTTAGGGACTTCTTTCTTAAATCTCCAAATGTTTTATTGGTTGTTTCCCCATCCTTTTGAACAGAAAACCAACTCATATAGGACAGCTGACTTAAATATGACAGGCTGAATGACCTGCTGTGCTTTAGCATTCTGTACTCTCGTTATCCCTCTCATTTCCTTTCTCAGTTTCCCTCTTAACTTTCAAAATTTGCCAGATTCTCACATGTCTTTTCAAGCAGATTTTTTTAATCACATTGTGTGTAAGCTGCTCATTTCATGCCTTGAACAAGAGGGCATCATGTTGCGTAAAGGCTGGCTAGGCTCTGTACCTTTACTGTTGTAGCTGTGGCTAGACAGACAAGCACTCACACAGCTGATGAAAGAAAATGAACGTACGTTTACAAATATGAGAATGTATTTCCAATATTAGAGACTACTGGACTTGGCTGTCTGTTGCAGCTGCCAGTATCTCCATGGAGGCCGACAAATGATCACATGTCTGAGGCAACTAGGTCCCAATTCAAGACAACAAGGTGCAGGGCTGGATGAACACAGCAGGCCAAGCAGCATCATAGGAGCAGAGAGGCTGACGTTTCGGGCCTAGAAAGGTCCCAATTCAATTGCTGCAGTCCTGTCAGGTTACCCAGTGAACCTGCCTGTTGCTCCTGTGTCTGCTTGAGCAAGTCAATGAAGTCATGAATTACTGACACCATGGGCTCCTCTCCTGCCTGAGACTGAGCAGGTACCTGGTCCTCCGAACGCCACTGTGCTTATCCCTCAACCTGCTGAGGAGACATGGCGATGATGTTCCCACCGGAGGATGTTCCTGACTCTAATCGAGCTTAAATACACACCGAGATGTCCGTTTCTGAGCTGTTGGAGAGTGCCTTTGCATCCTTTAAGGTGCTGTCTTCTTCAGAGATGGAGAAGTAATGTCTGGTGGTGCTGCCCTCTTGAATGTGGGAATGCTATTAATGCCTGCAGGAAACAAAAGAATAAATGTGTCACAAACAGGGGGTAGAATATGTAACATGTTTAGAATACAATCAGAATGGGGGTAATGAGAAAGGAGCACAGCAATGGACAATGCCTGTTACTTGGTTGCCAAGTTATGGATATCGCCACCTAGGGCCAAGGACCTCTCCTCATGGAAGTTGAGGATCTGAATATGGAGCACACCACTACCTGTACTGGCTCTTTAAGCCCTATTGAGGGCAAGTTTTGTCCTGGAATGAGAGAAAGGGAGGGATTGAGTGAGACGAGAATGTGCATCAGAGCTGTTAGTGCTGGTGCAGGTAGGGGTAAGTGACAAATGTCCCGGTGAGTGGGCAGTCCAAAGGGAACGGGTTAGTAGCGTGTGCCGTTAGGGTGTTAGTGAGTGAATGAGGGAAGATGTTGAGTGCAACAGTGAAAGTGGCAGAGTATGAGCCTTGGTGGGTGCAGTAGCAAAAATTGACTTAATGTGAGGTAGCAGAGAGAAACTTTGCAGCTTTGCTGAGTTTCCCCATGCTTCGAAGACTGCACTGACCCAGGTGGCATTTGTGGGCCAGGTTGGCAGGGTCTGGTGTCCTGACCTCCTCTGCCGCTACAGGGGCAAGAGGACAGCCCTTTTCTTCTCTACCCCATCAACTAGGACATCCTAATCCCTATCTGCAAAACTTTGCACCAATTTCCCCTTCTCTACCATGATTGGAGCAAATGTTACGAACATGCAGGGTAGCTGTGGACAATGGCCTTTTAAATAT